GGTCATGTGCAGCCTATTCGCTGCACAAACTGCGCCCAGTGTGTACCCAAGGATAAGGCCATTAAGAAGTTTGTCATTCTGAACATAGTGGAGGCCGCCACTGTCAGGGACATTTCCGAAGCGAGTGTCTTCGAAGGTTATGTGCTTCCCAAGCTGGATGTGAAGCTGCATTATTGTGTGAGTTGTGCCATTCACAGCAAAGTGGTCAGAAATTGATCTCGCGAAGCCCGTAAGGACCGAACTCCTCCACCCCGATTTAGACCTGCTGGTGCTGCCCCATGACCTCCACCAAAACCCATGTAAGGAAGCTGGGCCTTAATGGACTGAAGAAAACTCTCTTGAGAAAGAAATAATAAATTGAGGGGCTGGGGAAATGGCTCAGTAGAATAAGCGCTTGCCTGGCAAGCGCTAAGTGCCTGAGTTGTCCCCGGTTCCGAGAAAAAAAAAAAAATCTGTAGTAGAAAACATAAAAAGAAAAGAAATAATAAATTGAATGTTATACTTTAAAAAAAGAAAGGGAAATGATATTTTGTGTTTTGCTTTGTTTTTGTTGTAATCTTTTAATTTTATTTATTTATTTGGTAGAGGGTCTCGCTACAAAGCTCAGACTAGTAGTGATCCTCCTGTCTTCGCAGCCCCCAGTGCTGGGATTATGGGTGTGTGCTACCAGTTTCCATGGCTGGCAAGGCACAGGGCAGGTGGTACTGGGGATCAAACCCAGGTCTTTGCGCTTGCCAGGCAGGCACTCAGACTGCTGAACTATCAACCCAGCCCTAGGGAAATAATATTTTGAACATTTTCAAAAGGCATGAATTCCCAACAAGGAACCAGAGAAAGCCCTAAGAGAACAGAAGGTGAATGTGATTAAAAACAAGAATGCTGGGGTAGAGCAGGCATAAGTGCCCAGGACAGAAGGAGGGCCGAGTGCTATAGCCAGCAGTGAGAGGGGAGGTGGGGTGTGTTCCCTCGGCCTTCAGAGACAGGCTGCAGCCGAAGAGCTGGAATGAAGAGAGTTAACACAGTGAGAACAGGAGGGAAGGTGTGCAGGGTAGAAAAATGAGGGAGCTAGCTGGGGTGAGCGGGAGAAAGGTTGTGTGGGACAGCCTCCATGGCTCAGCTGTGTCACCTGCCCCATCCATCATTTTCTCCTTCCATGATTGAATTTTTGTATAACTAGGAAGAAAACAGAACAGGGCTGCAACTGTGGTCCTTCCTAGGGGTGCTGGGCAGTTCTGCCACCAGTAAGTCGTTCTCTGAAGCCAACCTTTGAAACTCCTCACTTGCCTTGGCTCTCAGCTGAGGGTCTGATTTGGCGACTCCAGGTGTAAGAGGACAATTTATTAAGATGGGAAATCACATCTGAGAGAAAGCAGAGTTTAGGGAATATGCAAAAGCAGGGGACAAGGTCTGAAATGAGCATATTGAGTTAAAATACATCTCCTAAGCTATGGGGACAAAAAACAAAGCTCCAAACTAACTCTTCTGAGACCACTTGTGCCACTGGGCCCACCCTAATGGACAGTTTGCAGCTGAGTGTGGTGGCACACACTTGTAACCTCAGCACTTGGTGGGCTGAGGCCAGAGGATTGCTGTGAGTTTGAGGCCAGTCTGGACTACACAAGCAAGTTTAAGGCCAGC